CTAGCCTTCACATTTTCCGATTCTTTGTTGAACCTATTTTGTATGCTTTGAAAAATGTTTTGAAAATCAGAACCTATTATTAGTGCCAATTCAGCTTTTTTGTTCTCAATAGAGCTTTTCAGAAGTCTTTTTTCTAAACGGTGGTGTTCAATTCTTTCATTGATTAGAGATTTAGAAGCTAAAGACATTATTTTGCTGGCTTTGAAACTTTTGTAAGGAGGCTTTAGGTAAAAACCTTTAGGTTCTTAACCTTTAAGTTCTTAACCCAGTTGAGATTTCTGTTTTGAGCAGAGGGCTAAATTTTTCCGTTGTGCCTAAATCAGTTAAAACGCTGGATTTTGTGACAGGGATTGAGTCTGCTGTTTCTCAGTTACCTGAGTCTCAGGGGGATCAGTTCCGTTGTGAAGCTAGTATTTTACTAAAGAAAATTCCTACTCCTAAACCTAATCTTAGTAAAGAGGAAACCAAAGCAGTATCAGTCCTTGGGAAAGACGGTACTGTAAAGATTTTGCCCGCGGATAAAGGGAATGCCACGGTAGTTCTTGATACTATGACATACGAAGAAAAAATGTTAGAAACTTTGCAATCTGGCCAATACACCCAATTGAAAAAAGACCCCACAGAAACTTTCGAGCGTAAGATTGCTAGTACTCTAAGAAAACACAAAAAGTTTTTTAGCGACAAACAAAGGACTCGGTTGACACCACACCACTCCAAAATTCCACACATGTACGGGTTACCTAAGATCCACAAACCTAACGTTCCTCTGAGGCCAATAGTTAGCTCCCGTGATTCTGCTTGTAGGGAATTGTCTAAAGTCCTTCTGGACATTTTAAAGCCTTTAGTAGGAAACACTGATTCGTTTATCAAAAACTCCAAAGATTTTGTAGAAAAGTCTAAATCTATCGTACTGGCTGATACTGACAAGCTGGTCAGCTTCGATGTTGAAAGTCTGTTTACGAATGTCCCCGTTTCGGAAACCCTAAAAATAATTGAGAATCGTCTCACAAACGACGATACTTTAGCAAACAGAACTAAACTCCCTGTTAACGTCATAATGGAACTTTTGGAGTTGTGTACTCAATGTAACTATTTCCAATTAGAGGGTAAATTATACTGTCAAGATGAGGGTATGGCCATGGGGTCACCATTGTCACCTATCTTTGCCAACATCTTTATGGAGGAGTTTGAGCAAAAAGCTTTGGCTTCAGCTCGGCTCAAACCGAGGATATGGTGGAGATATGTCGATGACACTTTCGTGGTTTTCCCTCATGGAGATGATAAATTGAATGAGTTTTTAGAGCATCTTAATAGCGTTTCATCCTCCATAAAACTAACCATGGAGGTGGAATCACAAAACAAACTCCCCTTTTTGGACGTGTGCGTAGAAAAGCATTTGAACAGTCTTAGAACATCTGTTTATAGAAAAAAGACACACACAGGGCAGTATCTAAACTTTCAATCAAACCACCAAATTTCTGTCAAGGAGGGGGTTGCTTACTCTCTGTTTGACAGGGCTAAGAGCATTTGCTCCAATCAGGATGAGTTAAAGGATGAAATTAAGAAAGTAGAACAGGATTTGGCTAGTAACGGATACCCTCGATCCATTATAAACAAATGCAAGAAAGATAGGGCTACGCGTGAACCTTTACAAAATCGTAAGGAAAAACTCGTCCACATGTCAATCCCGTATGTGTCAGGACTGTCGGAAAAGATCAGAAGGGTTGCTAGGAAATTTAATGTGCAAACAGCATTTAGGACACAAAACACACTTAGGCAGAGTCTCGTCAAAACAAAACCCAAAAATGACACTCAGGATACTAAAAACTGTGTTTACAGAATAAATTGCAATGATTGTTCCAGGCCTTACTATGGCGAGACAAAAAGACCATTGAACATTAGAATCAAAGAACACAGAGAAAACACCAAAAAAGGTTTAGTGGAAAAATCTAAGATCGCTCATCATTGCTGGTCCGAAAATCATCGTATGAATTTTGAAGAGGCAAAAATTGTCCATAAGGAACCTCATTTTTTCAAACGTAAACTCATTGAAGCCTCATACATTAAATTAGCAGACCAACCAATCAGTCAGTCATCGGTTGAAATAAGGCCACTTTGGCTACCCATTTTGAACAAGGAACTAAAGGATAGGGAACTTAATTGTTCAATAAATAGGGAAATAACGAGTTCTCCTCAAAATTCGCACGTTATGTTAACTCGTAGTAAAACTCGTGATAGGAATGAACATAATTAACACCCATCTTGCGGCATCGTACATCGCTCCGCCATTCTGTTGGTTTTACTTTTCCAGGGACCGGAAGCCATTTCTGTTGTCTCCGTGTTTCCGATTGGTCAGCCATGTTGGTTCAGTTTCATTGGTGGAGTCATAGCGTACGGTGTTGTTAGTGTTCCATTGTGTGAGTTTTTTGTACGTAAACCTTTTATAGATTATAGTGTTTTGTGATTTGTTATTAATTGCATGTTGTATCATGACTTGACTGCTATACAGTGCATATTTTTTGACTACTACCCTCGGTAGTGTATTCCAACTTAGGTTGGGCGTTTGTGTATTGTTAGTTGTAATGTGTTAGTTAAGTTTTTTCACCTGAAGACGGGATCAGATTCCAGATCCCGAAACGTTGTGTATTGTTTTTTACTTTCGTGATGGAAAATGTCCGCAATAAACCTTTCTACAAAATGGTTTGGAAATAAAATGTTAAATTTTAAGTTTTTAGGGTTAAAAATGGGAAAAACCAATTTTTACCCCATAAAACCCCCCATAAACACCTGTTCCCATAGTCCGATCATGCTGGTTCGCGAACGCGTTCGAATAAACGTGGGCTTACATGTTTGTACCAAATTTCATCAAAATCGGATGAGTTTTGCTCGAGTTATCGCGCTAACGGACACATATATAAATATATATAGATATAAATATATATATATATGAATTTGAACGGATGGTGTTTTTGGCCTCTAGGGACCTCAAAACGAAAAAGTAAATCGGTCCCGGGTCCAGGTCTTACCATGAGTACTACGGTAATAGCTTATTCCCTATATGGGAAATTCGCTAAAACTGTAGGCATTTGAGATATTAGAGATTGGTTGGGACTTTTGTAATCCTAATGCAAACCCCAATAATTGTCTATTTAAGGTCTTACAATTATTTTGAAATGAATACTGTATGATGATAAAAAAATAAAGGGAAATATTTTATTATTCTTTGAATGCAAATCAACCGTAAAAAATTATCATTATTACAACAATTTGTTGGTTTAACGCTCTAAGAGTAGGCATAGTTATAATTTATCTGCTTAGAATGTATTTGTGTTCTCTGATTGGTTTGTATTTTAACAATTCATCTGGAAGTACAATATGTAGTAGAGATTAAGTAGGTGTCCAAGCAACTTCAGTTAACTTCCAATCATCTGAGCTCCGGTTATCTGAGACTCCAGGTTATCCGAGTTAGCTCACGGCTGAAATATTTGTTATTTAACCAAATTCCAAATTATTATACTAGATATGAGTTTTAATTGAAAATAATACTAATACAGAAGTCTTTTTTCGTTAGGCATACTGTTAATTTTGGACTATCCGGACTCCTCAGTGCCGAGGCCAGTCCGAATAACGGGGTTTCCGGTTAAACCAACGTCCCCAAAAACTCGTTAAAATGGACCATTTAAATGCATGTAACCCTATGTAACATTATGTACCGCGTATTAAATACGTATTTAGATTTGATAGGCCCTATATTATTTTTTTCATACAGTTAAGTTTTTCTTTCTGTCTTCGTTATATTATTATTTTAAAATCTACGTTTAGTACCTTATAATATTAATTTTAGGGACCGTTTGGCCCATTATAGTCTTGAGCATAAATTGTAGATAAACGGGTTTCATTCAAAGATGATTTTGCATATACTTAAGAGAAAAATAAAATTTTAAGGAAAAATATCAAGAGGAATGAAATTGCCAGTAAATTTTATGCCGATTAAGAATTTGACATTTATACAACTTCACAAATTGAGTACTTACGCCAAAAGTTAAGTTAGTCCGCCCCTTAATCCTGCCCTCCACCTGGACTAAAAATTGGTCATATTTATTCCTCGAGTTAGTCTTTGTTGCCCAGTTGTGGATTATATATTTGGCTCCGAAACCCGATCGAATAACATTTAATTCGAGGATTAAGTAGCCCGTGACTCCGAAACCCATGAGAGTAATTCAGGGACTATGTAACTCTCGGAATAGACTTAGTCGTTGACTAGCGTAATCCTGGAGCTCCGAACCCCGATTTTTTAGTCCTAGAATAAAAACTGGTTTGAACTGGATTTTAGTCCAGGAATAGCGTTAGTCCCGAGCTCCGAAACCGGCCCTAAAAGTTTAAATCATAGAAAAACCTTATAAAAAAACAATTTTTATGTTGTTTGTTCACCTTGCGTTTGCTTGAAACTCGTCCGATTTGAATGACTAATAGCTTAAAAGTCCGTATTTCACTGAAGTTTTTTAGACCAAAATATATAGGATTATATAATTATAACTGGTGAAATACATCTTAAATTGAAGTAAGAATTAGAAGATAAATCAAATTTATGTTTTTTGGTTGAGTAATACTGTGGATAAATATAGGCCCTATGCCAATGCTTGATGTGAAAACTGTGCGTGCATACCTTCAATTTGAGACCTCAATCATGAAAATCGGTCGGATAGAAGAGCCAAACGAACTCGGAATAGATTTAACTCCCATAAGAAATACATGGGCAGGAAATTTTGTTCACGTATAAGCCGTGTGGGACTGTAGATAAATATACGGTGACGTTCTGGAACACTCCTAGCTCCTGGCGCCGTGGCCCCGCTGACGTTCCGGAACGTCCGTAGCAGCGAACGTGTTAATGTTATTTATATTAACTCACAGCATACAGACTATGGTAGACCATTTTGAATAGCATAACCACTGCGGCTTCTGATATAACTAAAAATATAATCAAAATAAAAGTCACTGACCCTGCAAGCTGGACAGCCACCCACTATGATGATGTCGTTGGGTTGAGTGATGACAACGGTGGTTGCTCCATAACCAGAAGTAGGACCAGGTGCTGACTGCACAGGGTATGCTTGAAACCCTGGAGGTGGCTGAGATGCTGAAATATCAACCAACAATTAACTTTCATTTTTGTCATAGTGAAATTGTGACAAACTCTTCTAGGTCTTATAATTGTTTCCCTTGACCATATTTGTATGAGCCATAGAGTTGTACTTGTACTGCACCGCTTGCCCCTAACCTCTAAAATCCAATGTACTGTAATGCTAAACAAACATTAAAAGAAAACATCAAGTTGTAAACTTACCAGCCATTAAAAAAGTGATTGTATGACTCAAACTTAGTCAACATTTAAATTCAATTCAACAGTTCACTAATGATTACATATCTGTTACACTTTGGTAAAAATCACAATAGAAATCCCACAATCTCTACAAATCACAGTGTTTACACACCACATTGGCATTCGGATGGACTTTCAACCTTTAAGCTCGCTGCGTAGTAGCGTATGAAGTAAACAGAGGGGAGTGTTTTCTTCGTTCGCCACTACCCAGCGGCCCGCTAACGTCTAGCCTAATTTTGATGAACATAGAGAGGCTTGTTTTCTGACATCGACAAAGAAGAAATAATTAATATCGCGGCCAGGAGTAGTGAAGAACTTAAAAAAACTTATGGGATATACGCGATCGTTGATTAGGCTACTGTATCAGTGTGGTAGGAATATTTGTCGTGTTTATATTGTTCTAACAAACATTTTCATTCTGAAATTCTATGTAATAATTATTTGTGTTATAGAGTACTATACTTAACTTATACTTCTTTTACAGTAGGTCATATTTTAGTATCAATGTAAGCCTACACTAGGGTGTTGCATTAAAGTTTTGCTTGTGATGTACCTAGTACTTTTTTGTATTATTTTTTTATTTTATGCTCGTAGTTGGCCTTTCATTGATCTGTTTTAGCCAACTAGTCTTAAGTAGGTAGGTACCGGTAGTAGGTATTGTGTTTAATATTGATTTTTCAAAGTTTTACAAGTAGGCTACCGTAGTTTATTAATAAATTGAAATTTTTTGCTGATATTAGGGTGAAATATTTTATTTATTTTAGCCTCTGGATTGTTGATTAAAGGTAATTATACCTAACCAAATAAGGATCATTAGGGTCTTCAGATTGCCTAGTAAAATATTTAACAGTTATTAATTTCAACAAAATTACTAAAAATTAAAGCATTTAAAACCACCTCAGTCACTTGCAGCAAACATAAGCCTAGGGGCTATTGTTGCCTATTTCCGACAGCGGGGGGGGGGGGGGGGGGGCCTCCACCATCTAGCCAAGGGCCTCCAATGGAGGCAGACTGGGCCTGTATAATTTCTTGCTTTGAGGATAGTTTAGTTAAGGGTGCGCTCTACCCCTGACGCGCTTAACCGAATGCAAGGGTTTGCAAGATTACAGTTTTTCACCTGCTACATTGAAGGTAGAATGAAAGTTAAGATCTCATATTAAAGAGGATGAAAATTTGCTATAGTTCTGCGTTTCATTATTTCATTCATTTTTAATACACACCTTATGTACTTGATTTGTAGGACAAGAAAAAAGGTCTTTTTAACTAAGGTTTTTTTTAGTCCTAATTTTAACTTATTGAAAAAACTTTATTTGAAAATTTTAAAAACCAGAACTACAGATTGGTAATTGCACTACTATAAGCCGTTAAGAGTGCGTAGCTATCATTATTGGTTAACTTGAAAACAGTTATCATGGAAACCTCTGCAAGCGCTTCTCGCGGCACTGTCCAATGGCGCAACATAGCAACTGAAGCCATTCTCCACGCATTACCTTATCCATTCTTTACGCATCACCTTTCACACACAGATTATGGACTATGGCAATTTATTTTTGTTTTCACTCCTTAATTCACAACACCATTTTGCTGTAGGCTATAAACTCTTAGTTTGAACAGGTAAAGGATGGGTACCAATCCACCTGCACAACTGTTCACCAACATTGGTGCACTAAGGCTATGCATGTGTAAAGTAGGCCTATAATTCCCTTCAACCCAGTCAAGATTTAGATAATATACATTGAATGGGTAAACATAGGCCTACAGTTCAGCGTAGGTATACTAAGCTGAAATCGGGTAGGCCTACTGTACACAGTTTCTTAACTGGGCTATGGCAATGTCCATTGAAACTTTCAATTGAAATTATCAATTAACCCTCCAAGTGTCCATAGTTTAGGCCTTAATGTCCACCTATTTTTGGCGCATTTGCAAGGTTTTATTAAAACGGATCTGAGAAGCTTAAAACAATGTTAATTCTAATGTTCTATATACCATTTTGTTTGGAAAATCATGGGCTTCAATATTATATATAAAACATAAGGAACATTTTTTTCCAAAAAAAAATTTTTAGGTAGGCCTACCAAAAAAAAATATAATTTCGAAAATTTTCAAAAAAAAAATAAGTTTGCGCTCAATGAAATTTTATAAATTATAGGCCTACAAATATTTGAAAATAGCCACTTTGTTCTAAATTTTATGAGGATTACAAATATATAATAATATAAGGAAGTAGATTTGCAAATAAATAAGTTATGGGCAAAAAACAGATTTCAGTACATAGCGTTTAGCTAAGAATGCATAGCCTAACCATAGCTAGGAATCTGGCTGATAATTTACATCAATATCACTAGCCTACCTACTTCTTCAGGATCATCAACCAGCACTTCAAAACCACTTAAATCTTCTTATAATGCAACACGTATATCACTACTTTTGATTTTTAACACTAAAACAATGATAAACGTAATAAAACACATCAGTCATCGGTCCGAGGGTAACCTAGCTGTTTACAAATACACGCACACGCACGTCAGCTGTCTGCTACAATTAATTACGATCGGCTCAGAGAAAAAAAAGCGCTGAGACAGACCTCTGGAGAAAGCTTAGAATATTACGGAAAGAACGATACCTAACTCAATCCAGTTCAATCCGATTCAGTCAGTCATAGAGCCTTCGCCGTAAACGATGTCTGCTTGTCGAAAAATCGACAAGTAACACTACACAAAGTGTGCTGCTTGTCGAATTTTCGTCAAGTAACACTGGGAGGGTTAATAATCAATATTTTAACTAGGCCTAAGTTAGGCCTAGGCCTATATAAATTATAAAATGAAACTGTTATCTAACCAAACCAATCAAACTTGCTGATAATGAAAAATCGAATGAAGGTTTACTAATCGAATCGTCAATAGTTTCAATCGGTATTAGCGTAGCCCAGTTAAGAAACTGTCCCCTATTTACCAATGAGAGTAAGCTATAGATCTGGAACTACAGCTGGTAGGCCTAATTGTACAAAGTTTTTGATTCCAAATTTGGTTTGGTTTGTAAGTTACGACACCAGCAAACAAGGAGGCTTTGATAGCCTATATATCCTGGACTGAGAACTTTAAGGGCTAGTTTGTAAGCTCTATAAGTAAGAATGAAAAATTAATGTTACTTACCATACTGTGGATTGTAGGCAACGTTAGACCCCACAGGAGTGTAAGGTGGTGGAGGATTGGTTGCCTTAAGTTTGTCAGTCTCGGACATTATTTTGTAGTTAGTTAAAGTAAGCTAAATTTGGATTGTAAGAATGTTAGAGTGGCCGCTTAATAATATCAATTCACCTCTTTACAGGATTATAAAAAAAGGACTCGCGCACTTTGTTTTGGTTTAACAACTTGAGCTTAACATCGGCGTGATATTTATGAAGCTAAGATTTATTTTTTTCTTTTTATCTTGTTGTGTAATAAAAGCAACTTTTCTTGATACTTGAGACTTCTTGTCCTGGCTTTCTTATTTCTACCTTTTTCCTTGTCAGGACAGGACGAGTTGACGTAGTGACGTGACGACGTTGTTGACGTTTGTATGTAAGTTTGTTGTTGTATAACACCAGTTCACCACACAACAGACAAGAATCTAAAAATCTAAAATCTAACCTTCCTAGGCCTAGGCTACCTTTACTTTTTCTATTGTATGTTTTATTTTTATGTCACTACAGCTGACTCTGCTGACAGCTAGCTGGAATGCTCAGTCATTGGTCATTCGGCCTGCTTCAGCTGTTATTGATAGTATAGTTCACTGCCACTTAGATTGTTGCACCTTTGTCATGCTTTAAACATACTTCAAATTGTGTCTTTGTCATTGATTATGGTAACCTTAAACCGATTTATTGAAAAACTTTTGCACACTATAAATATGTGTCGTCGGAGAATCAAGCAAGTTAACACGTCAAAGACAACGCCCACCTGTAACTCCAGGCCACGGCCTGGTAGAATTTGCAAGTTACAAGTTTTGATGTTTAGCGCAAGGCGTCCCATAAGGCCTCATGTACGACGTTTTGCGTCGGGTGGAATCCGTTGATCGTTCCGTCAGGGGGTTTTTACATGAGATCAAGTGGGACCCTTTTATGCACGAGGGAATCTCCGTCACATTTCGGTGTTCCGTCTTCCGTCCGGGGCGGGCGGGTGGAGTGACGTATGACTAAAGCTACGCACACACTACGGCGGTACGGCACGGACGGGCGGCATTTTTAAGCGGGGTATGCGCACTAGGGCTAGGGCGACACGGCACGGATGGACGGGATGGTTCATCCGTACATCCATAATTTAGGACAGTCGACAGTCTGCGAGCTAAAATTTGTGAGTAAATGATGGATGTAGATAAAGTTGTGCTTGTGATAGTAGGTTTAATTTTAGCAGAGGAAGAGATTTTGGATACACAACATAAACAGGAAAATAAAAATGGTTTATTTTACCTTTTTGCGTCGAACGATCCGTGTGTAGTTAGTACAACTACAGCTGTTTCATACCACTAGGGTACATCATCAGGTTGTTGGCAGAACGTTAGATAAAACAGCATTCATTCATAGATGAACTTGTCGAAATAAATATGTCTATATACACATAATACACCAAAAACATTTAAAAAAACACGAATTTACGAACTTGGCCAAGTAACGAACACACGAGACAGGCGCCGATGGATGTTGCGTCATGACTGCTGTCGTGTGTCCAAGCATCAGCTGTTACCCCTCCCCCCCAACTCATTTATCAGGACCAACAAAGTATAAACCGTACGACAAAGTATAAATATGCAGCAATTAGCAGCTTTCTGTACTATAAACAGTACAAGGAAGCTAACTTTGTCGGGTGACATGTAGCCTAGGAAAAAAATATTTTCAATAGGATCCTGATCCAAGAAGTGATGATTTGGAAACAGGTTAAGGCCAATGCATTTTTTTTTTACACAAATACGTCTACTTCATCATCCTTAGTTTTTAATACAGTAATGTGTCAGTGACTACAAAACAGTTTAGGAAATAGTAAAATACATAGTAAAATTACAAAATATTTAGGCACGCGCATCGTACTTAGGTGATTCATCACTGCGACCGCCATTTTGGATAGGTGCGAGGCGTTGCGACAGGTTTCACTCTACCGTTTGTTGGCATATGGCATGCCCATTCTGCCCGGTCTATTTTAATTCTGTGTTCGGTCGCTGGTTGGGATGTTTATATACATAGGATCAAATAGAACCTATGTATATATATATGTAGATTTTATTTCTGTAGTTAAAATGTTTCAAAGTATGAATAATCATCAAAGCTGGCTCTATGGGCTGTGATTCACGGTAAATTGTCTCCTCTCCTAGCCCAGCTATTTTAGGTAATGCCCTAGACATTAAAGATGTAAATCTGTTTTTTGCATGGTGATTTGATAGTGTATGATAGGAAGGGTGTTTTCTGAAAGTTCCCAGAAAGTCCCCCCCCCCCTTGCTTCCCCTTAAAACCCGTCTCTCAGGCATGGAACATGCTGATCTCCTAAAAATCTCAAAGTGGTTTGAAGTGCATCCCCCCTTTAATGGAAACGATGACTTACTTGTTTCCTTGTCTACTGGGATTGTAGCTGACCACACAGTAAACAAACTGTGATTTGGCAAAGGAAGTTGGTCTAGGAGTTCGTGAAATTTTTGGAAATAACTTCCATGATGTTACCAATATCAAACGGAAAAATTAAGTGGTGCCTCTGTCAGCCATGAGTGGCACAATCAAAGTTAGAGGCAAAGTAGTTTTGGTCGACCCTTAGCTACTCTTTAGGCCTATGAGAATATCATGTATACTCAAATAAATGTCCTTCTGATTACAAAGAATATCTTTCATTTGAACTCGCTCGGATCCCAAACCACCCTCACTTTTTACTTTTTGATGGTCCTTCTATGAGAAAAACTGCTAAATCCAGCCCTAGCAGAAACTTTATCGGCTATTGCTCCATGTACTATCTAATGTCACACCTGTTAACTCGTATTTTGTTGTCGATGGTGGTTATCTTTTGCATCACGTCTTTTGGCCTCGACCATCAACTTCAACTTACGAACAAAACTCGTAAGTTAGTATTTATATATATATTACATCACACTTTGGAGTAAATCGTTCAGAAATTGTTTTTGATCGTTACGATGGCCCACCTTCAACAAAATATGCAAGAATACTTGCAGCAGGAAGTGTGACTGTAAACCATCGGTGTATAATAACTCAACTTGCTGGTCTTGTGTGCACTACAATGTGCTCAAACTGCCGCGGCATTGATTGTATAAATGCACACACTTATTGACGAAGGAACAAGGAACTGACGATGATGAGGGAAAAGATACTGTAGTTGAGCTGTATATGATAATTTATACCTTAATTAATTTAAGTGTATTTCTTTCATCTGTAGGCCTATAATATAAGTAAACTTTTTTAGCATATATTTGCCTTTACTTAAAAATACAAATTACATCATTTCAATCCTTTAGTGCACTTATTTTCTTACTATTTTTTAATTCAGTGTTTTTATTTTCCTTGTTAAACATTCTCACAGGGTACCTATGTAAACAATACTGTACATAAATAAAAAGTAACCATTTGGTAATATTAGGACAATTTGGAATGATGCGTTGAGTGAGCGTTGTGGCTGCTTTCAAGCATGGATTTAAATGGCTTTCGGTAACAATTTGAATTGTTATATATTTTTGGAAACCTCATAAAACGGGTAAAACGTTTTGTACCAAACATATTGACCTAAGACCTACTGCAAAACCAAGGTTTGACCTAATCTACCATTTCACATTTATTTAAAATAGCTCATTTACATCAAAAGAGTGATTTACTACACTTTCAACCTGGTGTTGGGGGGAGGGGGGTTTTAAGGGGAAGCAAGGGGGGAAATTCGGGGATTTTCAGAAAACACCCTTCCTATCAAACACTATCGCCATGCAAAAATCAGCTTTACAACTTTCATGTCTTTTTTGGCTATAATTTTCAACTTAAAGTTACTGGGCTATGTATGGTTAAATTAAGTGGTCCAGTTGTCGTTTCCTAACTAACGGTTTTGTCGTAATAGTCAATCAATCGACAATAAGCCACCAATATCATAGCTTAAACGCCACAGAATAGTGTTAATCAACTTCAAGGATTTCAAATTTCATTTGTCAAATGTTTACTTGAGTGAATACTTCACCGTACTCTTAAGTGTTTAAAAAACTGACTTTAAAGTAATGCCTGACCAGAAAAATCTCAAAAATCCACTAAATACATAACCATTTTTTTAGATCAAAGAAATGTTTGATTCTGGTTAGGTTCATTTTCCAATCACAAAATATGGCTTTTTAAAAATTTAAAATTTTTTGTTGAATTTATAAAATGTTTCACTAAACAATTCCAGTATCAGGAATAACATTCAACTTAAAACTCATCATTTACAGGCTAAGAAAAATTCAAAATCCAAGCAAGGTATGTAAAAGAGTACATCTATCTTTACAGATTAGTTTTTACAGTATGAAAAAAAATCTATAAATAAAGTTAAATATTAAAAAATAGTTTAGGCCTATAGTTGAAATAAGATCCAGTAAAAATTATAACCAAACCAAATACAATACCTACTACTGGATTCTACCACCTTTTACCACAAGTTTAGTAAGTTTTGGTTCCATGGAGACTAAAAATTCAACTATTTCTGTCTCCTAGAAACAAAATCATTTTCTTTTGAACATTTAATAGCAACAGATCAACTTTACAATGTTCAACGTAAAATGCATAGTTTGTGGTATAGGCGCTGTATCGACTTGGTGGTTCGTCACCCAGAATCCTCCCCCACAACCACCACCACCAATAAGCGAGAAGGAGTTGAGGTTGTGGGTCCCGATCTGGACTCAGTGAAGAAGAAAAGACTCAGTCCAGGGAATAGAAGAGAAAGGCCCTGGACTGGTGTGATGTGGGAATGCACTTGGGAAAATTATATTGCTGATCAGGACTTAAAGGATGATAAAGGAAATTAACAAACTGACAATTAAGTAACTGTTAAACAAAATCAACACTTGGGAGGTACAACAAAGGTGCTCTGAAGGCAGAATAATCTATGAAGAATTTATCATCAAAACTTTTGTGTGGTGCTTTGCTGAAGGAAACACGATCACTATTTACTCATTGCAATGTCAGTTTGTAACCAATGCTTCTCAACTTGCAAAAATAAAAAAATCCCATACCCAAACTGAATTTATGAGTTTTTATAAGCTAGTTCTTAAACTTAAGAAAGTTATTTTATAACGGGGGAAATTAAAAAAATAGAATAACAAGGAAATGTTCAAACGATTAAAAATGACTAGAATCGAATGTAAAATTAACTTGCTAATGTAGTCTTCAGTGTACCGTAATTTGTTATTCTATTTAATACATAGTCCACTTCTAAAAGTTAAGAGGTACCAATTGAGATAAAGTACTGGAAATAGCCTTTTGAAAAAAACAATCTGTGGGTGTCAGAGAAATGTAATAAACACAAATTAGTTTTGCGAAAACCCCATAAAACCAAATTAAGCATTCAACCAAAGGTGTTACAAGTAAAGCTGATGGTGGATTATTAAAAAATACATACCTTGATGTTCTTCAGTACATTTGGTATCAAAGAGTCTAGAATGTTCGTACTCATTGAACTATTTCTTCACACTACTTAAAGCACTTGTAAGACCGGGGTAAAATAAGAAGGCACATTGTAATGAACTGAATACCGCCGGTTGACATTAAATGAGTGATGGAGCGTTACATAGTGAAGCTGGTGTAGGTAGCGGGTAACTCAGGCCAAGGAGAAGCATCATACGGGACAGGTATAGGACGCCATCCGTGATTGGTTAATGTTCAACCAACGGTATTAATTTATTCAAGTGAACATCACTGTTGCCAATACAAATATTAAATGTGTAAATCAATATGCATATACTACAGAGTCGTCTTCAAAAATATCTGTTTGGTCAATAATCTGATATTTAATGTTCAGTTTCTGAAAATAGAATAAATACAAGACAGATTGTTAAACACTATAGCATAGACTAATTTAGGCTCAACACACCCATGCGAGGGTGCCGGGGACTCAACACACCCGTCCAGCGGTACCCGTGGCTCAGGTTGCCCATCAGGTAACCCGCGGGCTCAACACGCCCATGCGGGTGGTGCCGGGGGTTCAACACGCCCATCCAGCGGTACCTGTGGCTCAGCACGCCCATGTGGGGGGTGCCGGGGGCTCAACACGCCCGTCTGACGGTGCCGGGGTCCAACACGCCTATCCAGCGGTACCCGTGGCTCAACACGCCCATCAGGTATAATCCGCGGGTTCAACACGCCCACGCTCATTGCTCTGTGGGATTTGAACATTATTTAAGGCAACTAGAGGACACGTGTATAATCTTGTTGTAAAGGTTGTATGGACAGATTTACTCTAATTTAGGTACTTTGATCCCCATTTTTTTAGCCAATTGAAATAAACGCATGATAAACACAAGAGCGTTGGTTTTCAGAGTGAGATAGTTTTCAGTTTTGAGAACTGGAATGGAGTGAGCATTAGTTTTCAGTTTCAATAACTGGAGTGGAGTGATTGATTACATAATATTTGAGTAGACTCTTTTTAAGTCATCGGATTTTATGATAAACTTTACAATTGCTTGAATTTGAGCAACAGGTAGTAACCAGGATTATTTTCTTAGAGACCGTTGTATTTAACCACAACGGGCTCTGTTGCTAGTCATAAATAAATACAAAGCATAATCTTTACACAGGCTTTACTAATAATATATATATTTTTTTAAGGAACTTGATTTTATATTTTACACAAAAATTAATATAAAGTAATTTATGTATTCTAGCTTATTACAGCTAGTGCTGTATTAGCACTTATTTACAGTTTTTTGCATGACTGAAAAACCAGCTCGTGTATGTTTACAGACATTTCATAACCCGAACGGTGAGCACTTTATCCAAGAACTGCATCTGGGGAAGATCATAGTTTTTCATAACTACCCCCTGAATAGGAAAATGGGCTTGACAAATTGAGCCTGACAGTTGTTCTCCTTTCTGTCTCTTTTGCTATAGATATCTTTTTGTTTGGCTTATCACTTGTGCAAGGCACTGAATAAATTGAATAAATACAACATAACACATTTTAATCTCTAATTGTTCACAATTCAATATTCCTGAGTCTAGGTGGTCATACACATTTCTCATCTTATTTTCACCTCTTTACCATCCCGTTCTCTTTTTGTTTCATAAACCCTGAAACAAACCCATTTATTACAAAATTATAAATTCTAAGAATATACTTAATTAAGTCTACCAGAATATGGGCTTTAAGATAAGTATGGAAGAGGCTTAAATCAGTGCTCTCTAATAATCTGACCCTTTTGGTTTTCTTTTCTAGTTTTTTGATAGCTTTGTTCCTTACTCCTGACTAAATATCATTCCATGAAGCTAAATAATTATAACTATATACCGTAATTAGATTTAAAAGACATTCAGTTTTTTCCTAATATTATAAAACCTTTAAACCATTTGGTACACAACTAACTGAAATATTAAATAAGGACCAGGTTTTTTTAAGGATTTTTTGTTACATCTATTAAATTTTGTATATCATATCGTAGACAGCATATTTGGACGATATATGAACCAAACAATCAATGGTATGAAATGATATCACATCATGCTAGATCATATAGCACTGTTTCTCATAACTTCTAGGAAGGCTTTAACTCTTCAGGCTTAAAATTACTCAAAATGTGAAATTTTTATTTACAAATTCAATCAGGACAAATATCTTTTAGGTCAATAGTTTTGGAACTTAAGTGTTGAAAGTGTGGCTCTACACTCAATGAGAACAAGCAAAAAAAATATATTTTGTGGAATGAATGCATTCCCTGGTACTCATTCAGTATGCTCCTATTGCCCCTTGATTCACTAGGTTACCTGTTCACATACTAGTACCTATATTAAGCCTTGTAATGTAGGATACAAATCAAAGGTTTAATATGGTAAATTTAATATATTAAGGTTTAATATATTTATTTATTAAGCCAAATTAAGTTACTAATGGCTGTTGTTATTTTGCTAGTTACGGCACTCTTACATTACTAAACAATTAAAATAGTGGTACAGTATTTAAAAAAAAACAAAAAAAACATTGTGTTTATACCTAATAACTCCACTTTTTAACTCCAACAATCAATTATGACTGGCTACAAGTTTACAATTTTATAAAAATTGTTAAATAGCTCAGATTAGTGTATAATGACTACGCACCCGACGATGGAGTTATCTCCGAAACGGCCGTAGTGCTCAACTAACAGGATTGCGAAGACTGTAAGTAACCTTTATATTTACAATTTTATATTTTACCTGGGCAGTACAACTTCTCTAACAGTTTTCCTAAACCCATGGTCTGTGGGACATGTCAAGTCATCCACTAGAGTCACAACCCTCTTCTCACTTTGAAACTTCAATCCTGACCTGGAAGCATACACCAAGTTTTAGTTTTAAGGTTGAAACCCTCCATGAGTACCTATCTAACTCTTTCAGTGCCAGCTTTTTGCAAGGTAGATAGTATCGATTTTTTAACTGAAGATAATTTATTAACCATGATACAATAGATACATAAATAAATATAGACATACCAGAAACAAAAGAACCCTGGGCCATTTCGAGCCGCGCAAGTTTGAAGGGTACGCCACACCTACCGGCGCGAACCACGTGATCTTTTCGTTTCTGCGCAGGTTGTTTTGTTTTTGGGATGTCTATAGTCATACAGGTTTTAGAACCTCAATTAGCTGTACTCAGGGGGTAGACTGAAGATTTCAGAGACGTACAGACAGAGACAGCTGTGCAGCTGTAAGAAAGTAAAATCTGAGCTTGCTATGGGTACAAACATTTTGTATGGGTGGAGCGTATGTGGATGTGGGCTGTGTTTCTTACTGAAAACAGTGTAGCAAGCATTGATCATCTGCGGAAAACCATATTCAACAGCATAAGAGAGTACTCTTCCTGCATCCCAACTCCCAACTATACTAAATAAATACCATTACTTTGTCATATTAGCTGGCTATTTAAGAAGGAGAGTAACCACACAGGTAAAGTACCCCAAATAATTGTTTTTACCCATGGTTGGTCAATGGTAAAAATTTCCACCCGGACAACGGTTGGCCCAACCAACATTTTTCCAACATAGGACCAACCATCCCCCTACATAAAAACAAAAACACAAAATAATAAAGATTTTGCGAGTCGGTTTTCGGTAGCTTAGTCGGTAGCTTCAAGGACTTCGGCCCAAGGCAGCGATGCATTCGGATTCGGATCCTGGCCACTGCCGAAAAAATTTTATCAGTAGGCCTACAGTTCACCTACTGTAATGGCTCACCCCTTGCTTCCCTGGATACATTTCACGCTTGGCCTATTGCTATATTATGATTAATTATTCTTTTCCCTTAAACTGTTCAACTATAAAAATTTGCTCGAAAAATTTAATAAAAGAAATTATTTGCATGATATTAGACAATTATATGTTAAGATTATTGCAACTATCACAACATCATCTGACTACATTTATTGATCTAATTTTCTTCGAAATCGTCACATATTCTGCTGCCATAGCATTTATTTTCTTACAGTATTAAATAAATCAATTATTGTTAAAATGTGTTTTAGAATGTTTTATACTTAAATCCAACAAAGGTCCAACGATTCTTTCCTTTGAGGGCCAACAATTACAAGTTCTCGTTGGGCCAACATTGGCAAGGCGTTAAAATTTCCACCCACAATTTCTCAACTGTGCCGAACATTTCTCAATATTTTAGGCAAACAAAGGGTGCTACTGCTGCAAAGATTTCAAAATCGTTAGAATAGATTGGAAATTTTGTTTGAGTTTAGTCAAGAAACACTATCATATTTGACAAGCAATGATAGCGATAACTAGACATTTCATTCCCATGTTAAATTTGTGGCCAGTTTTAGAAAAATATTTCGATTGAGCCATTAAAAAAATTGCTGATGTTAACAACTATTGATTTCTATAAAATTTTGCTAAGTTTATGACCAAGCCAAATTTGAATAACAATCTTTCCTTTCACATTCACAAATGAACATTTAAAATAAATTTTAAAACAGACAATTTTATTTTACACAACACCTACCTGTCTTCTTTTGGCCGAGGGGGTGGGTCGTTCCAGTACTGTACTTCCCCTGAGCCAGTAAATATATATACCAAGTTGGTCAATACTAACACTGCTGCCACTATCAGAAACACCATGCGCCACTGCTCCATAGTATTCTGGCAAAAAAAATTTAGGCTATCTAAAATTTCTGGGAAAGACTACAAATAAAAATAGAATTAAGGAACGAGGCAGCATTCCGCCCCGCCAAGTCCCCCAGCGGTACACAGCTGCTGCAGTGTATATATACATTACATGACAAATTGGTTTTTTTACTCGTCTAAAGCTCTGAAGAAACAAAAGCTATTAAAATAATTGTTCATCTATTGGATAGGGACACTCATTCTCAACAAAATAAAAAAGAATTTAAAAAACGGTTGTGTTTGAGCCAAGAAAAACTAGTTTGAAAATTCACAAATTTTCCGTGTTCTCCTTCTCCTTGAATGTTGACGGACCTACAGCCCAAACCACTGGCTCAATTTTAATGTTCTTTATGTTGTTTGATAGCCCTTAACGTGTAGATGTGCCTTTTGAGGGTCTCAAGTCGGTGAGTTGACCCATAAACCCTTGGCAAGCCTTTAAGTACGATTTTGGCCCATTTAAATAACATGGGATTAAAATCAAAACAAAAAAAGGACCAGCTGCGATTAAATCTCAATTAATTTAAATGTTAGAGAAATTCTTAGGAACAGCTGAAAAATTATTTTAAAAATTGTATAAAATATTTTTTCAGGTATACTGAATTATTTGAACTACTTACTATATAAAATATTACTTAGAGCAGTGATATTCCCCGATACTTGCAGTGTGTCGATGGTACACTGGTACAGCAGCTCGTCATTTTCAACAGTTTAATACTACTTATCAAAACATATGAAACCTGGGAACTTGAAACTTAGTACTAGTACTAAGGTTTGTTTTATTTTTTGTTTTGATACACTAAAACAAATAAAACAATCGGGAAAATCACTCTACGTATGTTAAACAAGCAATTAAAAAGTGAGATGTAAATTTAGGATAAATGAGTTATTCAATATTTGTTTTGCCTTATGCTATTTCTAACATTTCTAACAAACCTAATCTGTTTGATAACATTTTACTTCTCTAATAAGGGCTAAATTTACACTAGTCTTTAGATATACGGGTTTAATTATCAGAACACTTATGTAACACCAACGCATTTTATGTTGTTCAAGATGACCATTGATGAAATTTGAAACTGAGTTTAAGCCCAGGGGGTTTGTTAAATAGAAATTTTGGTACGTGTGTCAACAAGTTGTTAATCTGTTTAAAGCAGATAAGACCAAAAATGTAGAATTTAGTTCTACACAAACAATATTATTGAAATTAAATTAGATGTAGTTGTGCCGTGGTCTATATATCAGAGAAAAGAGGATTTTTATTTTAACTGTTAATTTTCCACAAAAATAAATAAAATCTAACAAAAACCACTAAGTGGTAACACTTTCCCCGCCAAGTCAGCAATCCAAAAAAGATAATAAATCATTACTTTTTCCGCCAAGAAAAACAATGTAATGTATGTAAGTTTGGCAACTTGGCGGCAGACTTTTGCTCGATCACTTTAAAAAATACCATAAAACTAGTTTCATTGAGCAAGTATCTCTTTCATTAGTACATTGCTAGGTGAGAGCTTATTTTAAAAATTTCGACCTTATTTGTGCCACATTTAATAAAATCATAATAGTGATGGTTTTATATTTACTGATTACCTCGAAATTATTGTACCTACTTAGTTGGACTAATTAATTAGAGAAGTTGATTTGTGAAATTATCCACGAACGTAACTTTAATGAAAAAAACCAAGCAAAAGTCTGCCGCCAAGTTGCCAAACTTACATACATTACATTGTTTTTCTTGGCGGAAAAAGTAATGATTTATTATCTTTTTTGGATTGCTGACTTGGCGGGGAAAGTGTTACCACTTAGTGGTTTTTTGTTAGATACATTTTATTCTAGCAGACAGCTTGGTAATTTTGTCAATAGATCTAAAAGTGTTTAATTACTGTGCGCTTAAAATCTTGTCTACAAGGGTACAAAATTAAAAATGTATTATCTAGCCATTTCAATCATGATGTAAGTTTTTTTTGTAAAGCAGACTTATTTGAATGAGAAAGAGACCAATCTAACCCCAAAAAATCACCAAAAAATTATACTAACACAAAAATTAAATTTTTTCACTATCACCTACAGAATTTTCATTTTTAACCAAGGAAGGTTCTCTCAAGCACAGACAATCAAGAAATACTTCATATGTTTGTCTCACATTGGTAAAGGATCTCTTCGACTATTATAATTTGTGTATATAGTTTAGTTTTTATGCCAGATTGGACTCACTCCTACTCAGATAAATCTGCTCTCCTAACAAAACTCCTAAGGCCCTTGTACCCACTGTGCTACATTCTTAACGACATTTGAATAGTACTACTTCTCATTTAGAACTTTATATGGTTGTAATGATGTCTATCCAATAACCATGTTTTTTATTTACATCAGGTATGAGCAAGCCAGCAAGGTAGGGTGTGACGATGCCGGACAACGCACCAATACCGTTCACAAGTGCCATGACAGTGCCAGCGTAGTTGGGAGAGAGATCCAGACAGTTCACCTTGAGGCTGGGATAGAAGAAGCCCATAAGTCCCATCCCAATCACCAGACACCAAGTGACTATCTGCTTGTCACACTCGGCCATGGAGGCAGCTACTATACCGAGAGCAGGGCCCAATGAAGCTGTGGGACGTTTATATATAGGTGATTCACAAAAAGTATATAGAAACAGTGTAAAGATTATTATTTCTCAAACAAAAGTTATTACTATTTTTAGGAAAAGAGATCTTGGATTAGGAAGAAATTAAAAAAAGAAGTTGGGATTGATACTTACTCAAGAAAAGGGGTCTATTAACTTGATAGCATACAAAACGTAAAAAACTGTTAATTTGATATTTGCCCCTTTCAAGGGGGCTCTTCAGAAGGGTTGTAGAATAGAAATCATTGGTTTTACTGACTTTGGGGTGCTGTATTCAATATTCTTCTCTTAATGTTTATTTCAGGTTCAGTAGCCTTTCTGAGCTAAACCATCCCTACTGCATGCTAGAGCCACTTCAATACCCACCAGTTTGTCATCTTCATTAATAATGTTTAAGAAATTTAACAAAAAATCCAGCTAAAGATTAGACCATCAGTCATACTTTGACCAGTGCAAACCAAAATAAAAGGTTAACTACCAGGTGAAAAGAGAAATTTTCTCTTAATGGTGACAGTAGAAACATTGACTATTTGATACTCAAGTAGACATATCCCATCTATAGCAGAGGGAGACTCTATGTCCCATTTTCAATAAGATAGAACGTATAGTTCGATGAATTGCTCACATAGTAAACTACTGTCAAAATGCTAATTTCTCTGCTGGCAATACATACATAGGGAACTGTACTTTAAAAACTAATTTGAAATTATAGAAACTGTATAGTAATTTGTTTTTTTTTTAGTAGCTTGGTATAAAAATTGGGTGTATAAAACAGAAATCAGTGATTGCCAACATCATCCCACTCCGAGGGTGGTATTATTGAACTACTATATTTTTTTACTTTAATTTGGGAATGGGATATCTAGTACTCTCCATAGTCAAGTATTTCACTGAGTCACGGTACGTCCAGAGTGCACGCCGATTCAGATTCAGATTTTCGGTGCTTGGTTAATCTGAGTCAGATATTTTGTTGGTGGCCACAGTGGAAGCAGGAAATACGCCGCCGGTACTGACTCGGTTAGCAAAGAAACAAGTCAGTCATTGTTATGAAATTAGAAATTGTGGGATGAGGAATAATGCGTTAAACAAATTATAGCGTCTGAAACTGTTGTGAAGTTACAGCCAGTGAAAAATGGTGTTCAATGTTCATGATATTAATGATATTATACATCTCTTTTCCTATAGATAGAAATTATATAGTTTCTTTCTATATTGCATTGAGTGAAACCACCAAAACGTATATTAAAATTGGATAACGTATTGTAAGAAACTGGTGTCACCTCCGTAAACAAAAAAATCCTGAAGACCGTTTAGTGGTAACCACAAAAGTAAGAATGAAAAAAATAAATATTTTACTATAAAAACATAATTTATTTAACTAAATAGTATGCGTACAGTACAAGCAAAACCTGAATCGGAATCTGAAACCAGAATGAAGAATTCATTTTGGTAAGCAGGTGCCTGCATGCGGGCTCGGAAACCGGCAGCACGGCCACTTCAATTTGAATGCATGTGCCATTCCTGCCGCCAAAAATCTGAATCTGAATCGGCGTGCACTCTGGACGTACCGTTACGTTAATTTCCATCACCTACCTACTGTTGTAAACAGCTTTCTTGAAACGGTCACAGAAGTAACTTGCTTGACTAACAGAAAGTCTACCAGAGTGCCTGCAAAGACAGCAGTAAACACCATGGCTAAGTATGGTGCTGCAGACCTCAGCCCGGTCTGAAATGGAGCAACTAAGATTAATCTGCTTTTGACACATATTTTACGTCAAATACATTAAAATGTATATTTTTCTCATTTGCTTTTTCCAGTGTGGGAAAGCTGACCATTTTCACAGAAAAATACAGGTCGCTTACCAATATATAGGTTCTTTGGAAAAAACTGAGTGGGAACGCTGTTCCCGCACCACTACATCACTGTTGATTAATTTGAAGTCATTATTTTCTTTCCAAATATGAGAACTTTTGCTGTAATAGTTAGTCTTCCGTTGTTAGTTAAACACTTTAATTTTAGTTTTATCAACTTGATGTAAAGTTACTCATGAAATTCCTTTTTATGATTAAATACATAGGTTAAATAACACTATCCATATCGTATGAGTGAGTACAATAAAATCAATAATCAATCATCAATTGATTGAAGTTGGTAGCTCAGTTGGCAGCATGGCAAACTACAAATTCCCGGCAACAAGGTTGCGGGTTCGCATCCCGGTAATAGATAATAATTATCATTATATTTCGTCATTGTACTGTACACTGGCTCACTCCTTGTTTTGTTAAAAACGTTCCATGCATAGGACCAGCGCCCATGAGGCATAAATCAATAAATAAAAGCATTCTTTATCCTATAATGTAACTTAATAAAAACATTTCTTAAGAATAAGTGCACTATGATATTTTATAGGAAAAGTCACAAACGTTGCAGTAACGTTTAAAAAAATTCTATTTTTGCGTTTTTTATTGAGGTTTTATGGGAAAGACACATAAACTATAATAACTCTTGAACCATAATTTTTACAGAAATAGGGGTTTTTAACAAATTTGTTTATAATCAAAAGGACTATGACATACTACATTTTAATCGGAAACATTTGGGTCGTTTTTGTGTGTAATTAAATTTTCTCTTATTTTGTGGGGCTTAATGGGGAAATCACCATAAAAAGTGTATAAAAAACGCCAGGAGATACAATAGATAAGGAGCAACAAGTTATTTTTAGTTTAGGAGTCTAGTTATTTTTAGGACCATAAGTACCTACCCACATACCACATTTAATCAAAATCGGACCACAGGTGTGGTCTCTAAGCTCTGTACACATCCACACATACAGACACACCCACGTTCCGGACTTTAAAAACAACTATTTGGGTTCAGGGAAACCAAAAACCAAAATAACCACTTAAAAAACAAACTTAAAAAAGTTTTAAAAAACAATACTTTCTCCATATACTATTACATAGAGGGAGAAAGTAAAAGTGCTATAGAAGATTCAGCTGGGAGCAACACATCTAATAATACACGTTAATGTGTGGACTTTAGATGTCTCTCTCAAACTCAGTACAGAACTGGACTTGAGATGTCTCTATCAAAGTAAGCACAGAACCATCACTTTTCTCTGGCTCGAATAAAAGGACACACAGAGCGTATGAAGTCTTGGTATTTGAGTAGACCTATCATAGACTAACCTGGGCAATGGAGAAGTGAAGGACAGTTTTCATATACTTTGGCAGGTCTGTGACGATGGTGAACAGTCCCCAGTCATGGCCTATCTGAGCTACCACAAGTCCCCATAGAGGGACCGATGTGAGTATGTGTCGCCACGGGGTCGGGGGCAGTTTCTGGCAAAGAAAATATAGTTCATACTACAACTCTTAGCTTAGTCCCTATATAAAAGACTATGATACTCTCTTTACCAATATGTAGGATTTTGGCGACTTTAGTCAACATTTTTATATGATTATTTTATAAGATTTGTAGTCAAAATGTATTTTGAATGCTCCTTGATGAAGTTGTATTTTGAGTGATATTTGATGAGATATACATGCCAAAGACATCATAAAAATATTGTTCCTGATATATGCGCACTGTGTGGTTGACTTTTTGTATTTAATACAAAAATAAATAAATGTTGTAATATATTATCTGCTGTAAGATGATAGTATACAAGATCTCAACATGCAATGATAAGGCAAACTACCCATTCTCAAGTCATTTGCCTATCATTATTGGTGTAAAAGTTTACTATACAGTAGAACCTTTTACATTAGAGGGGGATTTGAAAATGGCCCTTGTTATCGAGGGTCTTGTTATTGAGGTTCAACTGTATTAGTACACATATTCTGGGTAGGCGAATGGCTTTAGTGCTCAACTTCAAATCTGAAGATTGCTCTCCCATTTGCCATTGGGCTATCACAATGCTATCCAATAAAAGGTCTAAATATTAGATAGTAACAAGACCAGGGCATTGATGATTCCCTTACAAATTCAAAATCCCACTGGTTTAAAGACATAAGAAATTATTACCGATAATTGGCTTTCACCTGTTTCATGTTGACCTTGGCCCAGTATTTCTGCAAGTAGCGCTTCTCCCCGTCAGTCAGCCCTGGATGGTCTTCAGGTCCGCTATATCCACAGTGCAGCCACATCCAGAGCCACAGTAGAGCCACAGCTCCGTATGTGTAGAACAACACAGACCAGTGCATCCAGCTGAGTAGAAGCCCACCCATGCTCATGGAGACTACATTGCCGAAATTTGCTCCTGGAGTTAATTTTAGAATTGGAGTAATTTCATACTCTTACTGCCAGAGAGAGGTAGAGATAGAGAGGGAGAGAGAGAGGGAGAGAGAGAGAGAGAGAGAGAGAGAGAGAGAGGGAGAGAGAGAGAGAGAGAGAGAGAGAGAGAGAGAGAGAGAGAGAGAGAGAGAGAGAGAGATTTAACAACATCGCCTGGACTCTATTAGGGTTGAATACACAATAAAAACATTTACTCACTCTCCTTCATACCTATAAACGCAAAATCCCAGAGCAGCCTTAGGTTTGTATAGCCTATATCCAATGGCATCAAGGAGATAAACTCACAGTGTAAAATTCCTTGGAACCAAAAAATGTCAGATTGTGAACTTGAGTCTCTTTTTTCATCTCTCTATTGCCAAACATCTTCAGAAAGTGAAATTAGAAATCTTACTCCTAAGAGTGTGTTGTTTGAGAGCGAGAGCGAGGCAGACAGTGTATTTGATACTGATCTGTATTTTTTGAGCCAACCTGTTCAGCCCTCTAATACTTGTAGGAGATGAGTTATGCTCTAGAGCCTAACCACATAATACAATAAAAATTCTCTTTCAGTAATGAATCAGCTTCAAATGGAATTTTAAGTATTGGTTAAAAAATGTATATTAAAATCTTTAACGACTGCCCCCTCGCCCTCCCAAAACATTATCATGAACAAATTTGTGACTGGAAGAGAAAAATTTACTTACCAGCAAATACCATGGCTCCCAGCCTTCCCCTTTCTTCTTCTGCTACCCATTTAGCCAGGAGAGCATTTAGGGATGGATAGACAAAACCCTGTAACACCATTGATATATGATTACATTTGTTGGTATAGCTTTGAAAACGTGCCTCAGCCAAGCCATAGTCTGTGATAAAACTTGGGCAGGACTTTACATTAAACCAGGTATAATGAACTCAGAGTTCCACCTTTCTCAACACTTACATTGATAACTGTAAACCATAAACCATCTAGCCTCAAGATAGATGTATTGTACTGAAATTGAATGAAAATGTAATGAAAACAATTTTAATTGAGGCGAACTAAGACTAAGGATGATGTATCCTTTCTTACAGTTAACCTCATACTTTTTATTGACTTTATTTTTATTTTCTTACAGATAACCTCTTATGTACCAAATGTCAACAAACAATAAGTTTTTACAACACTCTTTATCCCCAGAAGCCGCCCCAGTAGACTGCCAGTGGTGTTGCTAGAGTACACAGTGCTGGTAGCAGCACCGCGAACGCTAGGGTGTACTTCCCTCCCACTCTCTCTGCTAGTACACTTACCTGGCCACAGCCCATGATTATCCTGAGCACTATGAGACCCCAGACGCCGCCCCAGTAGACTGCCAGTGGTGTTGCTAGAGTACACAGTGCTGGTAGCAGCATCGCGAACGCTAGGGTGTACTTCCCTCCCACTCTCTCTGCTAGTACACTTACCTGGCCACAGCCCATGATTATCCTGAGCACTATGAGACCCCAGACGCCGCCCCAGTAGACTGCCAGTGGTGTTGCTAGAGTACACAGTGTTGGTAGCACCAATGAGAACGGTAGGGCGTACTTCCCTCCCACTCTCTCTGCTAGTACACTTACCTGGCCACAGCCCATGATTATCCTGAGCACTATGAGACCCCAGACGCCGCCCCAGTAGACTGCCAGTGGTGTTGCTAGAGTACACAGTGCTGGTAGCAGCAACGCGAACACTAGGGTGTACTTCCCTCCCACTCTCTCTGCTAGTACACTTACCTGGCCACAGCCCATGATTATCCTGAGCACTATGAGACCCCAGACGCCGCCCCAGTAGACTGCCAGTGGTGTTGCTAGAGTACACAGTGCTGGTAGCAGCAACGCGAACGCTAGGGTGTACTTCCCACCCACTCTCTCTGCTAGTATACCTCCCGGCACCTGGGTCACCACGTAGCCCCAGAAGAACGAACTCAATACAAGCCCTTGTGTGCGCTCACTCCACTTGAATTCTCCTTTGTCCTAAAACATGTTTGAACTCGTGTCATAGCTGAGGATAAATTTTACAACAATTTCTTTAATTGCATGGGCTAAGTTTAATTAGTGTAAAGTAATTTTTTTGCAACTTTTATATTTAATTGCTTTTTTCAAACATTTATCTCTTTTCTCGCTTAGCTTAAAACTATTGTTTACGTTGATCCATACAAAACAAACGCAAATTGACTTTACCTACCATATCCACTGATGTGTGTTGTATCCTGTTGTCGTCGTATGGACAGGACTGTACATGACCGGGCACAGTTGAGGTAATATTTCTAACGTGAGGTTTGACCATCTCTGTGATAGCTAAGCTGATACAGAACCTCATCATGTAGGTTATCATCAAGCCTAGGAAGCACAGCAGGCATATCATGTACCTTCTGGGCACACAAGGTAGGCACCCACACACTGAAACAACAATTACTCCAGCAGTCGGTCATTAATAATGTTAATTGTTTATTACTGGCAAGGTTGGGTTAAGGAAGCATCGCTAACATTTCCTATCAGCGTTTTATAAAACCAAACTCACCGCAATACCCTAATAATTATATTAATATATATAATTTTTTATGTTAGCCTCCGGGTTACTTTTAATATATGAAATTGGTTTAATACCTGTTTTGGGGCCATACACATATTACGTAACTCATTTAGGGGGTGGGGAGGGGGTTTGGCATAGTGTTATGCTGTGTTATATGGGGGAGGGCAGGGCATAAAATAACATGTTAACTGGGCGACACTTGTGCTGAGATTTTTTGCCCAGTGGCTATGGGTGGTGCATTTTAAATATATGGGAATTTTAAAAGTAGCCTATTTAAAAAATAACATTGTGTAAATGTTGTGTGAAAATCATATTCTGTCATAATTATCATTACCTACAGATTTTTTTTTTGTCTCATACTTATACATAAATCTGTAATTATCTGTAACAATAATTATGACAGAATATGATTTTAACCTTTCCAAAATTAAAAAGTGAAAATATATATTGTAGTTTTAGGTTTTACATGGATATTTTAAACATGTTTGTAGTCTAGTACACTTTTGAAATTGAGCTATGATTTTGGCCCAAGAGGTTGTGGAGAGAGAGCCTTAACCTGTTCAACGTTCAAGAATACGTAATTAAGTAAGATTATATGGACTATTTACAAGCAAATATAATCGAAAAATTCATTAAAAGATACTGTACGTGTGATTTTCACTTTAATTGATGCAAAAATGTTTCCCTGGACTCCCCTTTTCTGGAGGGTATTCCATACCATCCGCCCCTGCATACCAGAGAACAAAATTGGAAGCATGTTCCCATGGGCAGAGGCGGAGGGGTGGCTCACAGTCCTACCTAACAACAAGAAAAACCGTGGATAAACAAGCCACTGTTTGAGATGAACAGCTGAAAAAAAACATTTCAAAAACAATAACAACAATATACATGCAATTTTAATGCGGCAGGACGGTTTGAGGGGGTTTCCGGCGGGTGAACAGCACCAGAGGTATGACAAACCAGGGCGGATAGGGGGCCAAGGCCATGAAGCAGAAGGTACTAGGGTAGCCAGGGTGTAAGTAGCCTCCCCGCCACTCAAAAAGTGCAGGCTCTCCTCTGGGGCCCCATCATCAGGCGCTTTTTGGCCCCCTTAATCAAACATCATAAACTTCACCAATAAAAGAACAACTACTTTAAAAGTGCATAAAGATTTGTCACTATAGAAAAAACAATCAATGATGTTTACTCATTCTCCATCACAGAGCCAGAGCCTCTAGGGCCCTTAGGCCCATCCCCATCATAGGGATCTATACTTGCACTAGTTGCACTTGCACTTGAACATTGACACTGACAGGTGGGGAGGCTAGAGTAAGAAGAACTCCCGGAGCAGACAGCTGTTCACTGGGGACGGCAGGGCATCGACTTTGGAAAAACACTTGAAAAAAAACATGAGTCGTGACATTCGTTTATGGAACATAGTTAAGTCACGGCCCTTTTTTCCTTCCTGCTTACTTTTTATAGTTGAATGCACTATACATTATTTTTTCAGCTATTGTATGTCCGGAAATTCTTCGCATCTGTACTGATATTATTGTTTTCTCAGTACTTTCACACCTAAAGACGGAGTCAGATTCTAGATCCCGAAACGTCAGTAAGGCTCGTCACACACTGCGTCCGGTCCGGTAAAATCGGATCCGGCATGCCGGATCAGGTGAATTCGAAAACCATTGATTCAAATGGAAGTCCCCACACTGCATCCGGTCCGGTGCTTCAGGTCCGGTCCGGTAAAATTATTTCGGTCGAGAAGCGATAGGCTTCCGGCAAGCTTCCGACGCCGGAGAGCTCGCGCATGCGCAGACGACTTCTACTCACCTCGTGACAGTGACAGTGGGCACTTACAGTAGCAGCAGACGTGGTTTTGTGGTTATTGTTTACGCTGTACGACTTGTTACAAAATGTCATTGGAAGAGAAACTGATTGTGCAGGCGTACCCTGAGCTATACGACCTAGGCCACAAGGACGTTTAAGCAAGAGCTGCTGCAACTACGAAGATGTCTTTACTGTCACTGTCACTCATTGCTTTAGGGAAGTTTGGTTAAAACAAACTACTGTATGTTGTTGGTTAAACACTTCTTGAACTCACAATACCGCTGTCCTCGCATAGACTCACACTGGTCGCTGGAACTGGAACGCCTGATGCAGTGTGTGGAGATTTGCCGGATCCGGTGAAAAACACCGGATCCGATTTTACCGGACCGGATGCAGTGTGTGACGAGCCTAAACTTCCATTATATTTTTACAATGGAAACCTTATTAATTATTCCTTTAAACAATATTGACATGGATTCATATTTTCACGTTGATTTTTGTTTTTGTTTAAGGCAATTAAACCACTCCTAGTTGGGAATGAACTTGTGATTCCCTAGCAATTTTCTATAGGGAAGTGTATGTTGCAATGGTAGTAATCGTGATGGTAGTCTATAAACGTACAGTGTGTATACGGTAAGTTGGGGCACGGGCCTGCCACCCGATCATTATATCCCCTCGGCACTCGTGGCCTTTTCCTAGATGAGTGACCAACTAGCACCTCCAATACAATTTAAAAACATGTTTATTTCTTATAATACCTCCATATAAGTATAATATCCATAAACTACTAAAAAAACTAAGAAGATTGATTTAAAACACGATGGGTTTCATTAAACAATTTAAAAATGGCCGAAGATTGTTAATTTTTCAGCTTAACGTTGTTATTTTTAATCGAAATACGTACATCGTGTTTCATATCAATCTTCTTAGTTTTTTGTATTTTAAAACTTTCATATTTATATGAAGATAGTCTAAAAATTGTAATTGTATTGGAGGTGCCAGTTTGTCACTCTTCTAGGAAACGGCCACGAGCGCCGAGGGGATATGACCGACTCGGGTAGCTTATAGGCCCGTGCGCCAACTTACCGTATACACACTATAGAGGCCAGGAATCGCTGTACGTTCAACATTGCACTATATGGTCTTTTTCGTTTTGGGGTAACAAAGGTCCAAACCCCATTCGTTTAGTTGTAACACATCTACACATCGCATATAGAGTCTGAGAGACCATTCAAGCCAAAAGGACAGCTCCAAAAAAGGCTTAGTGTCGTATATTTTGGCATTGTATCATAATTGGAAAAGATAAAAAATGTTAAATATTTTTGAAACAAAAAACAACTAAAATAAACGCCAAATGACTTACCTTGCATGTTTTCACAGTGGACCACAGCTTCATCTAACGCATAACCTGTGTTATCTCTGCTATGTACTTGGGCTTTGTTGAGGTAATTAGGGTTGCTTGATAACGAAGTGTTTACTGTTTTCTTGTTCTTATTCCCGTAATTTTTGTAATTGCTGTTTACAAAGGCCTAATTTATCTGGCGATTGTTATGATAAGTGGACGAAATTCGTAGTGCTCATGTCAATGCTATCAAGAATATCTGAAGCACAAACTAAAATAAGTCAATTAGGTTAGTAGAAATTAAATAGGCAAAGGAATGGTTACGAGTACGATTGGCAAGAATGATCGCATGCTTAAACTTGTTCAGCCAAGAGAAAAACGTCATTATATTTTGCAGATAGCTAATAGATTCGGGCAAAAATATTTTATAAAGTGATTCAGTTTTTAAAATAGTTTAAATAAGCTGAAAGAATATTGATGAAACAAACCTGCAGACTAAGCGAATTTTAATTTTCCTGGTTTTATTTTATAAAAAGATTTTTCCTAACATCTTCAGATCTATTCCCTAATTATAACATTAAAAAAGAGTACTTACAAATTGTTTTACTTATTCATTAAAATATTGTTCTAAAATAGAGTTTTACAGTTCAAAAGGCAGACTAGCTGTTTGATCGAAAAAGTATTCGTTTATGAGTATATTACACAGAAGATCCAAATCATAATCAAACAATTTGGCCTCCAAAGACTTTTATTTTGCCTCCAAATCCTATTCTTATGTGTTAAATACATTTTGTTTATATTACAATTTCGTAAACTGTTTTACTAACTTAACAAACATAACTTAAACAATTCTACTAGTAAAATGATTTAATGACAAATATTACTCGTATTTTTCACGCATCGTTGACTCGTCAGAATGGACAGCGGAGTGAATCAAAGCCTCCGTTATCAATGAACCTCGAGGGAATTTCAGCGCCCGAGTTTTGTCCCAGAGATGGCAACACTGACAAACAAATCAATATGAGCTTCCTCAATGAACTCCTTCTTGTTCCAGAACAAACCGCATTACATGTATTTTCAAATAAATATTTAACCATCATGAATGCCAATTTCTTAGGTGGCAAATATGATAAGAAATACACAGCCGTTGGACTATATCCAAATTTGGTAGCTTTTAACATGGTTCCTTTTTTTGAAATGTTTCAAGTAATGGTTAACGAGTTTGTCCAAATATCGTAGGTGAGAAATTTATTAAAATAATTATACATAATCGCTAATTTGCTCCGTGAGACCCAGTTAAGCTGAAAAACTTTCTTTAACGGGTTTATTGTGAATTGTAATTTCACGGCTGATGTTTCAGTTGAATGTGGACGATAACAAGAAAATTTAACAGTGCATGAAGCAAACGAAAAAAGGCATCTTAACCACAGTCATATTGTAAACAAGAAACGAATGAGTTTATGAAAATAGATTTTTTAGTGCAGTAATCTTCCCATAGACGGAATAAGCTATTACCGCAGGTCTCATGGTCAGACTTACTTACTCGGGACCGATTTACTTTTTCGTTTTGAGGTCCCCCAGGGGCCAAAAACACCATCCGCTCAAATTCATATATATATATATCTATATGTGTCCGATAGCTCGATAACTCGAGCAAAAATGTTAAAACCAGCATAGTCGGACTATGGGAACGGGGGTTTATGGGGATTTTATGGGATAAAAAAGATCTTTTTTTCATTTTGATCCTAAAAACACAACATTTTATAATTTCTCTCCAAACCATTTTGTTGAGCTTAAAAAAGTAAATAATTTTGTTTATTGAAGAGTTGTTGTAAGCCCAACGGTTACGGAGATAATTAACAAAATTGTAAATTTAAAATTCCCATGTTATTCTTATGGAGAATAAATAAACTGTTGTAGTTTGCTTATGGATATATTTAATCCAAATTTGGAAATTTGTTTATTTAATACTAAGCTATCGACACTGTAATAGCTAGCGAGGGTATTTTAATTATTACCTGATTGAAGTAGGTAAATCTCTCTTTTTATGTAGATCCAAAATCAAAATGAATTATTTTGTAAAATAATTAGTTCAGTAGTTTGACATTATTCACCTGTCTTAAGCAAACATTATATTTGAAAGGTGAAAGGAAGGGTATTATTTTGGATTCGTTTTCCCTCGTAAACAAGTATTGAACCCTATAATTGCACAACAAGCTGCTATACCCGTGCTTTGCACCGGGAAGAAAATGTGACCTTGACAGCCATTAAAGTGTATAAGTGGTTCTGATGTGTGTTTTAAAAATACAGCAACTTTAATTTGAATTAATTTGATTTAATTTGAAAATATCTTACTAAAAGAACCATACTACTTACTTTCAAACCCCTACTTTTGATGTTTATAGAGCCAAAAGAATTTCACAACATACCTTAGTGTAGCAATAGTATCGATTGCTTCATATTGATGATTCATGAATGACATGTTTTACCCATCGATCTCTAATAAAGATCGATGGTTTTACCACAACTCTTCAAATTTAGTCAAGCCTCTTTACACGTGGCTTACTGTATTAAATGCAAAATAAAATTTTGAGCGATTTTTTACAAAAACTTATACAGTACAACCTTTCTATAAAACCATACATAAACATAACCCTCTAACTAAATAATGCATATTATTATTTGTTCTAACTTATAGTGAAGTTAAGTGTTTATGTGATATACGCCATAGCTTACAGTAAGCCATCCTTTCAGTATGGTTTCGTTAAGGTTGGCATGTTTGGTAGAAATAAGTAGTTTAGCACCCAGACGTCGGCTCTAGCCAACTACATTAATATTTATTCTTTAAGTGGTTACACCTTCAACATAAGAATGGAATGGGTAATTCTAACCGAGGGCCAAGGTACTACAAAGTTCCAGCTTGTCATTAATGGTAATTTAAACATAAAATTCGCAGAATTAAAAATAATTTGTTATTAAGGAATTCTAGACGGTTTTAAACATCTAGAATTCTATCTATCTAGAATCTAGAATAAGCTACAAATCACTGCAGTAAAAAATAAAATCTATAACATTTAACGTGAGAATCCGTTTACTTGAGACGGAATCGTTAAGGAGATTGAGACAGCTGTCTCATAAATACAACATCAGGGGACGAGCCTAGCGATCAGGCCATAAACGGGGCTAAGGGATGTCATCCCCAGTAAAAAGGAGGACTTTCGTGTCGGTAGCATTGTTATGTCAATGTTCATCATACTGAATTTGAATTTAAATTGCGAATACTCAAGAATTTACTAAGTCGTGTATCAAACTTTGCCGTACACAAGAAATTATTATTTAAAATGAAGCATACATTTGGTTGAATATGTGATATTGTTACTTATAACAATGAAATCTTTTAAAACTGAACCAACTGTTTGAGTTTAACACAGTTGCAATGAATGATAAAGCTAAATAATTTATTTGTACGATTTGATTGAATATGTGTGGGGAATTGTAAAAACGTGTTATTTTACTACACTGGCTACTTTATAGGTGTGTAGTATCTAAAAGTCAACGATAACGTGTAATACAATATATACAAAATAGTTCATTTTATATTTGATCTTTGGGTGTTTATAGTTTTACATAGTAAAATTATAATAATAGTAATTTAAGGTAAATCAATATCTCATTAGGTATTAGGTTATGTGATACACCTTTGTTTACGCGTAACCCATTATCTCCGTTGTCTTAATTTGTATAACCTTTGATTACAAAGTATTGCTTTCAAAATACTTCTTAAAACTTTGTAATATCTTAAGACCACCTCAAAACCTCTCTATTTATTCATAACAAACTGTAAAACAAAATTTTCCGGAAATGAATTAGTTACCTAGAAACATCTCAGGGTAAATTAGTCGCGGCGGGGTTGGCAGCAGCGCGGCGTCGCGGTGCCCGGGACAGTTGGCAGCAGTGGGACGCCTCTTCAGTCAGTGGCAGAGTGTAGTGTGTGGTGGCGGTGATGTGAGCGTCATGTCGGCCCAAGGGGTGGTGGAACGAGCCAGCGCCGAGTTGAGCAAACGCATCAACGGTCTGGGGCTCAGGGGTAAACACCACCAGCGCAATGGGATCACCCAGCCGCCCACGGGGAAAACATCAGTCATGGAACGTGTCACCAATGTGTTCTGCGGAGGAAACAACACCGTTCCCCCGGACAAACCTTCTAGGTTCAGGAAGATGAATGCGACTCCTCAACCGGTCAGGAAGATCCTCCTTCCGGAGCCGCAGTCCTTCCAGGATCTCCTGATGGACGATCGCTTCCTCACCAAGTTCTTCGGCTACTTCACCCCCCTGGAGCGACGGACTATAGCGCAAGTGTGTGTGAAGTGGCGGGACTTGCTGTACCGTTCCCCCAGGTTCTGGGCCGGGTTGATGCCGGTCGTGCGGTGTAGGGAGATGCGCGACACCACGCACCAGGACCGCGCCAGGATATACGCGTCTCTCCTGCGACGAGGGTTCACCTCCCTGAGTCTCCTGGGCGCTACAGACGAGGACGCTCTGGATGTCGTCCACAACTTCCCCTTGGCTACCAAACACGTCCATTCCCTCAGTCTGAGGTGCTCGAGTATCAGCGACCGAGGACTGGAGGCGCTACTGGACCATCTGCAGGTATGTGGCTTGTTTGGCTTAGAAACACTCAGGTAAAACTATTAGTTCCAGGACCGTAATCTCGATCTTGGATATTTCCATTTTCGATAAATACCAACGTTCGCATGAATATTACGTCCGATTTTCGATGAACGGGTAAATTGTATACAAACGGAAATATATGATAAAAATAGATTGGTGCTGTAAAAATATCGATATTCATGCAATTCCAGGTCAGATTGTTATTATCTTGACTTTAAAACAGGGTTAATCGTAAATAATACAAGCAGAAATAGTACCTATTTAGGTTTGGCCTAGGTTGTGTGCTTTATTCATCGGGATATTTCTTAAATATATGTTTATAAAAGTTAGTTATTATACAACAATATAAATTACCATGTATGCCTTATAATGCTCAATTTCCGTAAAAGCGAATACACTGATTAAGCTTAAGAAATTGTTGATCAGTTTCAGTGAATGCCATTAATAAATTACCCGTATTTTCAATCCGTGATCCCCAACCTTCATTGGATGTTGCAAATTCGGATAATTTAAATAATATGTGTGATGAAATACATAAAGT